GCACAGCATAGTACTCCCCACCAACATCTCCCGAATCAACTCACCTTATCCGGCCACTCAGAATTCGCTTTCAATGCCCGGGAACAAATCTCTGAAAGATTTAGCGACTTCGCGTTACCACTACTGTTGCGTTCGATTGTGCTTGTTTTTGTAGACATTTTACTTATATATATCAGTTTAATAGGAAAGTAAATTTAAATTAATTTAATTAAAACTAATTTCGTGCAATGATTAGAGAAAAAACCCCGGAGACGTGTAATTTGACGTCGTTTTGACAGTAGTGCATTTTTGGTCCCTAACCGATTCCGGAAGGTATGGGAAATTTTTTTGTGCAAGCTTGGCAGCACCGACATCACAAAAAGGAGAAGGTTATCAATTCATCGGAATTTGTTTTTTCTATATGTTAAAGCATCACTTTGGACCACGTTAACCGGATTCTATAATTCTTTTTTTTTTAAAGAATTGTGTTACCTCACAGGTGGTCCCGTTAACGATACTCTTAAATTTTTATATGAGAATTGAATTCCGTTTTTTCTTGCTTAAAAATTACTTGTTTAAAGTAGCCGTTATATTGAAAATAGACTTGGACATGCTTAGATCCATGGATTGAACGTTTTAAGGATAAAATTTTAAATATTTAAGAAAATATGCAAACTGTAACAAGCAAGGTCAAACGGAACAGAATGGGACATAGAACTGGACATAGGCCTTAGCTTTCTACAAGCTTTTAATCAAATATTCAAATCTTGCAAACATTTTTTAACCAACTTCCCGATGAGCTAGATGCTTGAAACTTTAAGCTTAGCTCAGAAACCGACAATACGTCAAGAATGAATTTATTCGCTATATGGCGCGGGTCTCGAGATATTTAAAAAACCCATGGACCGATATGGTTTATATTTAGAATGTATATTTCCTACATGATAGTAACTAAAAAAATGATTATGGATAAGGTTTAACCTATCGAAAATTTATACTAATGAAAATGTATTAATTTCTATTAAAACTCAGTCTTGTAAAAGTCATAAATTGTTTGGCTGAGTTTATCTCCTAACGGCCGTTCCAATGGTCCGCATTTAATCTTGGTTAGCAAAGAACGAGCTTCTTTTTCACTTGTACATTTCTCATATGCGTCAAACAACAGACGTGGAGTGGGATACTCTTCAACGATGGCCAATGCTTTTTCCAGTGACAACGAGTGTAACTGTAGTAATTGCTGTACAAATATTTCTCGCACAGTCAATTGTGCACCGCGTGCTGAATCCTCATACAAGGCACGAAATTTCAGCAGACCTAACATGCCAGCTGACGAGTCGTATGGTTGCAAATCTTCTTTGGCTGTACTAAGTAAAACTTTATCCTTAAAAGAGCGTATCAATGTTTTCGTTATACCCTGCAAATATTTCATTGAACGAAAATTATTTTGAGTATGTGCTATCATGAAGCCCGAATGTATCTGAGTGTTCATGATAGCCTGTTGTAAATTTTCCATAGGTAGGCCTAAGTGTTCATTATCGCCATAATCTTCAACTAAGTAGATAACGTTTTGTATTCCACATTGTCGCAAACGGTGTTTCTGCTCATGGAAGCGACCATCGCGTATACTTGAAGCCAGATCATCAAACCGCTTACGCTCTACTATAAAGGGCAGCACCAATTCGCTGCCCTCCTTGTCACGGGCGACCCAAAGGAAATCACCAATGGTCAAACGACGCACCTCATACGACACTTCAAAACTCTCCAAATAGCTACGTGTTTGATCCAAAGTGCGTTTATTTTTGCCGCTGGTTTCCTGTGTGTCAACCAGAAGTATAATGCGAAAGCTACCTGGACTCATTATCACTTGACGCTGACGTTCTTCTTCTTCAGCAATTGCTTTCTGTTCCTTTTTGGTAATTTTGCTTTGAGGTTTTTTGGGAGATTTACGGCATTTACTTTTCTTAACAGATTCTAAAAGTTGTTTTACGTCCGATTCGAATGTTTGCATTGTTGGTTGTAATGGTGGATTTTCCTGCTTCTCGCGGTACAAACGAAGCTCTTCATCTATAAGGTTGCAGAGTGTAGAACCGAAGCCACGAAGAATAGCACATTCCCGTCCTGAAGCCAGTGGAAGGGGATAGCTGCGAAGTGCTTGAAGTGCATCGCGAAGTTTGTACTGTGATTTGGCATTTCGCCGCTCCGCATCTTCCAACCATTTCTCCAGCCACTTTTCAAAGAGAGGATTAGGCTGCTTTAGGGTAATTTCCAAGCGCTCTTCCATACGACCAAATAAACTAAAAAGTCGAAGTACTTTCAAAAGTGTTGACCAGTGTTGCCACTACATATTTTTATTTTATACCAAAATCACCAGAAAAAGTTACAAAATTCAACAAAAATTACCAAGCCTATTTTCTTGAGTCACTACAAACGAAAAAAGGCGCGATAGTGTTTTGACGGCGAAAAAGGCGCGTAAAAAATTTTGCGAAATAAGATGCTTATGAAAAACTTCGGCGAAGTATGTTAAGAGTTTTTGACGC